GGGGCACAGCCATATATTTTTCTCTCGCCTCACATAAAGATACAGTATGTTCCAATTTGACGGATGCCCCCGGGGCGAGGTGGCATTAGCAAAGAGAGGGCTGGATTCCGCTCCTGAATCTGGACCTGTTTTAAGCAGAGATGAAGAACAGTTCGATCTCGAATTTCTGCACCTTTCCACTATCACGTCTAGATTCAGACGTCCAATCCAATCCTCTTCGCTAGTGGGACCTCGCCCCCGAAGGACTTCTCTTCGTTTTACTCTTTATGTCGTTTTTTTTTTTTTTTTTTTTTTCAGCTCTGTTTCCCACAGCTGGGCTCAGCTCACAGCTGTTTGCTGTGTGGCTGAGTATATATAGATATATATGAAAGAGATATATATCCATATATATAAACTGAGCTGCCCGCTGAACTGTGGACAGAAAGGGAGAAAAAGACAAGAAACGGCAGGGGTGGCTGTGACAGATTGTTCCGTCCGAGTTTCACCTACCTACTCGTCAGGGCCGAGGTCCCACTAGCAAAGAGAGGACTGGATTAAGATCCTGAATCTGGATGTGTTTTAAGCAGAGATGCAGAAAAGCAGTTCAATCTCGATTTCCTGCACATCTCCATAAACTCGTCCAGATTCAGGCATTCGATCCGATCCTCTTTGCTAATGGGACCACGCCCCAGGAGGCTAAACTCTGTACACCCTGCATATCGTCACATGAATATCAGTGCGCAAAGGCGAAAAAAAAAACAGAAGAAAACATATCTATACGCATATATGACGATATATATATAACAGAACTGCCCGGTAAACCGTAGGCAGAGAGAGAGAAAAGGACAACAAACGAGGGGCTGTGACAAACTGTTTCGTCGGAGTTTCACCGACTCATCAGGAGGATATATATGTGTATGTGTAAACGGTGGGTTGTGACAGACTTTCGTCAGACTTTCACGGACGACTCAGGAGGCTGATACATATATATTGTCACAAGAATATCAGATCGTCTATCTATGTGTGTGTACGTGTATCAGTGTGTATATATAAAAAAAAGACAGAGACAGAGAGGATTGACTGGTGAACGGTAGGCAGAAAGGGTGGCTGTGACAGAGAGAGAGGATTTCGTCGGAGTTTCACCGACTGACTGATCAGAAGAGTGAACCCTCAGTCTGCAGACGCCCCTAACCGAGCAATGGCACTGGAAGTGATCATCCACCCACCCTAAAAAAAAAAAAGCAACCACTGCCATCGACGACTCCTCTCTCTCTCTCTCTCTCTCTCTCTCTCTCTCTCTCTCTCTCTCTCTCTCTCTCTATATATATATATATATATATATATATATATAT